TTGTAACGTCCCTAGGTTCGTTGCAAACAAAACTGATCGTTCAGGAGGTTACAACCACCCTAGGGTCGTTTGCAAACTAACTGAAAATCGCATACTCCCTGTAACATATATCTATATATTATATATAATATATATATATATATATATATATATATATATATATATTATATATATATATGCATTTTATCGGAAGCAAATATCGCAATTTCACATAAATTTACACACACAAAAAAACATTTAATTAAGGGAAGCAAGAGGCACGTAAGCTGCTTTTACTGCAAGTTTAATATCGTGCTTCACCATCAGAATTAACAAAGATATTTCGTTGCGTTGATTTTGAGATATTGCAATCATCGTGTAAACTACTGACAAGTATGCTTGCAGTCACAGTCTACCGCCCACTACCACTGACGTATGATTTTACAACAGACCCGGTGTATCACTACTGATTGCTTCATGATTGTCCATTTTCGAGACGGCATGACCCCTTCCTCTACAGATCCTTGTTTTGTAACATAAAATCGTATCCGCCAATGTCAGCAATCGGGTACACTCGCGGGCAGCGTTCCCTTCACCACTCTCTGAGCATAGGTGGCCGGCCGTCGACGCCGGCAACGCTGCAGAGAGTGTACCGCGTCGGCGGAAAGGAAAGTGTGGCTGGGCTCCGGCTGCCGCAGCCCGCCGCCGTGCGCGCGCCGCCGTCCGCTCCAGTGCCGGCCGAGACCCAGCGTCGGCAGCTCAGCAAAAAACTCGCGCCGCGCGCGACGCCAGTGCCACTGTGCATCGCCCCGTGCTGACACCTCCACGCGGGTCGTGGTGCCGAGTTGAGACGGGTTCGGGGCACGAGGCGGAGACACCACGGAGGACAGGGTCCCTGCCGGGAAGGACACGTACGGCCCGAACGTAAACAGCAGGAGAGAGGTAAGCGCGCTTGGCTGTGGTGATCCGTCGTTTGATAATGTCTGGAACTGTGCTGGAGAATCGAGACTTGTTTACCATGGATGGCTGATATTTGTATAGTGAATATGGGGATGTCTCTAGCGAATTGGAGGCCTTCATTCATGAGACACCCATGGTAATCTTATAAATTGCTTACTTTTCTTCATTGTGCTCAGACTTAGGTCATAAATTCTAATAAATATAGTTACATTAACTTTTTCGACCTCATAACCGAAGAATCCCAAACCTATAACGACTCCTGTCTTCGTCTGGGGTTTCGATATGATATGGTGTTTTCCACAATCTCTGTCTCATGATGGGCGCAGCACAGTCATTTACCCCGCGCCCCGTAGGGCTACCGGCGGACCCTACCACCCGTAGGGGGGGGGGGGGGGGCCGTTTCGGCCCCCCTAAGATCTCGGAAAGTTACCGGCCGATTTTCAAAATTCAAACGGCGTTCGATAGCCCCACCCGGGAACTACCTTGTGACCAAATTTCATTGACCTAGGTCAAACCGATGACGTCACAGGTCAGGTCAAAGGTCAGATTTTCACCGTTCACAGGCATTTCAAGAAATGTGTTGTGAAATCGAGTTAATTGGTAATTTATTGAAAACCATCGATGGTACATTGTTCGTCAAACACATACTTTGCTATCTGAGGTCACTGATACCAGGTCAGGTCACAGCGAGGTCAGGTCACCGGGGTCACAATATGAAAGTGTCGTGTGATACATGTTTTATGGTCCATTTTACATGACAAATGCGATTATGTGGGTTAGGCAGCCTTTGGGGCCAGCCTAGGTCACGTTTTGGTGAAGGTCAGGTCAAGGTCAGGTCAAATAAGGTCAAATTTCAAAGTTGATATTTTTGCATAAAATGGGTATCGATTCGATGCAGCTCGTCACGGGGAGTCTAATGGTGGTCTTTGTCTTGCTCTACGAGGTCTAGAACTGCCAAAAATTGAGTTTGAAAATTTGACGTCATCAATTTTGAACAGTTTTTTCGCTATAACTTGGCCAAAAAACGAGGTATCGATCTGAAATTCGGTATGTAGATAGAAGACGGTAGGTACTATCACATATGTTTCGGTTTTTTGAAACTCAAAAAACGTTCTGGATTTTTTTGGCTAATATATCCAAAAAAAGGTTTTTTGGATTTTTGGGGTTCAAAACTCAAAAATTTCAAAGATCCGAGATAGAAGTTTTGTAGCCCTGTCAATTCTACACCTTTTATGTCTTGATCATTTTTCTGTATCTTCAAAGCTGTAGGCCTGACAGGTCTTCTCGCGAAGGTCTTTTTTCGGTCGAAAATGACAGAACATGACGTCATTCTGACGTCATTTGTGGCCAACCTATCATAGCCTCTGGAAAAATTTTTGGTCACAATGTGTAAAATTGATGCCCGGAGGGGTCCTGAAAGTTTGGTGGCGATATCTGAAGCGGTTTAGGAGATATCGACCGAAAAGGACAGGGGGGCCGTTTCGGCCCCCCCCCTACGGGGCGCGGGTTACGATTAAAGCAGTGTAATAGGACACCATAGCTTCTTTCGGCTTGATCAGCAGCGCGTTGATTTGATGATGATTGAACCTGCGAAAGAAGTGACGTTTAATGCGGGAGATAATCCGACCATAGAGAGAATGAACGTGTGAAAAGCCTCCAAAGCAGTAGCTCCGGTCCGAGGCTGAATGACGACGCTTGACGTGGGGAATAATGAATAGGTGCAACGAATGTGTCGCCGACTCGTTTTATTTTCATTACAAAGGTGTTTTGTGTCTTACGACCATGACACACGAGTGAGAGAGACTCAAATAAAGAAAAGATGTCTTACGAAATTGGCTCATAAAGACATGTGCCACTCGTATAGCCTTCATGAATGGAATGCCGACCTCGCGCCAATGGAGACGTGAAAAGCGGGCCACCAAAACGATAACTGTTTTTGTTGTCAAAGGATCTAAAACTACGGTTGTTCGCCGTACAATTGTAGGCGAATGACAACTTTTGGTACTTCGCTATGCAGCTACTCATCCATTTAATTGGCAATAAACACTTTCATTGTTTGTTTGCACTTGAATGGTTGTTTGGTAGAAAACATGTATGATAAATTGCAGACATTAAGTAACCCTTCGTACTGCTTGGAATATGTCGGTAGAATCATAGTTTTAGCTTAAATTAGAGCCCTTTTTATCGTTACCACACAAGAAGGAGATGAACATCGTTTAGTGATCATCGATCTCAGAAACATTTGCACAGGAATAGCCCTCGTGAAGACATCGACCATTCGAAAGTGGCGGCTTGGCTTTCGTCTGGTCTGGGCTGGGTCCTGAATGTGGCACGTGGAGGTCAGTGAAAACACATGGCCAGGATGCCTGTACCGCAGAGAGAAACACCTCCCCGGAAAGAAAGGAGAAAATTAGATGATGACGGGGAGGTAACGACGGAAGGAACAGGGGAGAGTGAGCGAGAGAGAGAGAGAGAGAGAGAGAGAGAGAGAGAGAGAGAGAGAGAGAGAAGAGAGAGAGAGAGAGAGAGAGAGAGAGAGAGAGAGAGGAGAGAGAGAGAAAGAGGGAGAGAGAGAAGGAGAGAAAGAGAGAGAGAGAGAGAGAGAGAGAGAGAGAGAGAGAGATGGGAGAGGGAGAGGGAAAGGAAAGAGAGAAACAATTATAAGAATTAGAGATAGCGGCAATCAAAATATTAGTTACAAGCAAGAAAAGAAGCAGTAGAATTGACAAAGAGAACTGAATGCGAAGATATGAGGAAGGAATGAACAATAGCCAAGTTTCCAATAAATGACAGCGGGTAAGAGCCGCCAAAATTTGAACACAAATGTCAGTGATGGAGGTTTTGGTGATATCAAGAGACCTCCGTTCCCCACCAGATATACCTAACGTTCCCCGTCGCTTTTCGGTAATCGATATTGCCAAATGATAATGAAAAATCTGTCGGTGAAGAAAGGGAAATACCGCCGAGCCTTCTGGTATTGGTGTCACACTACGGTCTCTGGCCACATATGTGATATTTGCAGTGAAAGTGTGATGGGACACTTTTTTGGACACTTTGAGCGCACGGTGACCAATGAAGTGGAAAGGATAACATTGTGGGAAAGTAGGAAGTGCGGTGGGTGATTATGCTGATGAAGTTGGGTGATTATGCTACGTTTCGTTGATGTTCAAGCGATTATACCTGGCAGCCAGTTGTGCGGAAAGAAGCAAGTGTAATCTTCTTTGAAAACACCCTGATGCTCAATATTAAAACCATGGTCCTCAAATTTTGCTCAAGACTAAGTCTTCACATGCCTCTTTAGTTCTCTCATGGAGGTCGGATAACGTTCGCAACTGCATAGCCCAATGAAATACTGCAGGATGGGTCCTGGCTCCTGCCCATCCATGCATGTCAAAGAAAAGACCGCATCATAGTTAGGACTCGATGCAACAATTGTTTTCAACCACATTGCGTCAGAATCAGTGGCAGCCTATCACCATGCAAGGTGAGGACTGTAGACTTGGGGTACCACCGACGGCCAAATCTCCATAAGAAGAATGAGGCTCCCTTCTTTGCTATAGGTAATTACTGCTCACGAAGGCAATGTTGCACTGTCTTGTCTTATGTCTTCAACAAGGAACCGACAAGCCATTAATAATGTAACTGCATGCAATGCAACCCATCTCGCCTACCCCCGAAGCTGCTTAGCGTCTATATGACCGTAAAATACCGCGGCTCCTTCTCAACAGACTGTGGTGTGTGTGCCCACTCTCAGCCGGTCGCTCTCCCGCCAGACACACAGAAAACTGGGCCGTGTGCGTGTGCGTGCAGCTCCAACGTTTGCCATTCACGTTTGCTCAGTGTTGTCGTTCCAATTCCACCGGACGTCGGGCGCGCCGTTTGAGCACACAGATCAACACATAACGGTTCAATGTTGGTCTGCCATATACGCTAACCTACATGAAACCTTCCGTACCGCGCTGATTCTGAATAATCAGCTCCCAAATGCAAGCGGTTTGTCCTGTGCACGTTACGTGCCGTAGAGCGCAGGCCGCCGGACGCCGGCCAGTATCCTGGCTACAGGGAACCGGTGCGTGTACCGCTGGGTGCGCGCTCGCGCACGCCACATGCCTCGCTAATAACCCCCTGGGCGCCGACACGCTGTCTGCCGACCAGTCGCCGGCTCTTATTTACACCATTTGTTACACCGCCCGCCGTGAGCGCAGCGCCAAACTCCCCGGACTCCGCGGCCGGCGTATAAGGATGGTGGTGTGGCGCGCTAGCGCCGGTAATTTAGCTGCGGCGTGTCCGCCCAGCCCGGCCGCCCTTTGCGCCGCCAATCGCCGCCTCGCGCAGTGTTTACTATTTTATCATGAACGTTTGTTTTCCTGCTTTATATTATTGTAAATTCGTTATTATCGTCACTTCTGTTTTATAGTTTTCAACCGTATTTAATATTTGTCCTTGCTTTAATTTGTTGTAATTTCTAGATTGACTTTTCGCCGTTTCTATATGCTCGATTCGTTTTTGATTATGTAAAAAAGTGTTTTAATTTTTGGCTGTGTAGTTCCGCCCCCGTTTACTTCCTGTTCGTTTTGATCTCTATGGCTTTTGGCACGTGCTCTCAGTTAAAATATAAATTTAGTATCGTACGCGGAGTGTCAGAGAGGCTGAGTATTTCGACGAGTTCCTAGTTTTATTTCTCACGTTTTTCTCCCAGTTTCAACCCATATCTAACCATCGTTTCACTGTTTATTTCGTTCTTTCATTGTGGGTAATTTCCTTTCTTCCGAACACGCACCTATTTAACCTGAGACCCACATTCTGATGAGCCCGACGTGATTTGAAGTGATGAGTTTAACCTGTTGATATATCCTGTGCTTTTGTTGCCATTTTTTTTGTGCTTTTTGTTGCTAACCTTGACCTTGCCTACCTACTCGTCATGCCTCACTCTGATGATGTGCTTGTGGCTGAGTCCCTGGCCCTGCCTTCTGCTGTTGGTG